AGAGAGAGAGAGAGAGAGAGAGAGAGAGTTAGACGTTTCCAATTTTCACGATAAATATTTTTATTTTACGATGAATAATATTTTCAACGTATTTCTTATACATACATTATATTTTTCGCGTATTTTTCGTTGTACGATACCACGCTATCCGATCATCAGAGGGTGTTTTTCTCTCGTTTAATAAATTAGTTCACTTGATCAGTAAAAGAATGATTTTTCATGCTTTTACGGTGCGTTAACTTGTCAATTATTATTAAAGTAGAACCAATTCACGTGCTAATCATGTATATAATTACTATTGGTTAACACATATCGTTAACGCATTAGACACATACAATATTCTATCAATTTAATATATTATTATAAGTTGTTCAGAAAGTTCGTTTCAATTTTCTAGCTCAAATTGTATATTACAACATCTTCGTAAAAAAATGAACGAAATTTAAAAACAAAAGGTTTTAAAGCTTGAAATCTCTATTTTCGAAAGGTTACTTCTCTTCTTATATTTTTTGAGTTCCTGTAAATTTGATAATTTTTACATATAATAAACTATGAGCTTTGAAAAAGATGAAAATTTTTCTTTTCACTTTGTAGGTCTTCCATGTGGCCCAAGAAATTTCCTAAGATTTTTTATTCGAGAGTTATTCGCGAGTTGAATAAAGGAGCATTCTGATTTCGGTTGCTCATTATAAATCCGTTAAAAACCATCATACAGCAATGAAGAAATCAGATTCTTAAAGTTGAAATTATGCTCTGTCGAATAGTATAATCGCTTTTTTTTTTTAAATATATAATATACTATTTTCAACTAAAAAATTTGAAACGAACTTTCCGAACAACCTAATATCTACAAATATATAGATAGTGATGTGTTATAACTACATTTATCATACTACCAAACTACCTTTGCCAGACACAGTTTGTGCTGCAGTGTCTACATTGGGGATGCAAATGTAAATTAGATCAAATATAAAGAGAATATAGAACAAAAGGTTAATTACTGCATTTCTAAATAAAATACGAAAATATACATATATCAGTACGTAATATACAGAATAAATCAAAATACACGACATCATCCGTTGTGGCATCTAAACTTCGCTGTAACTGGATGTAACGCTCTATTAATAATTCTCTTAAGCGCACCGTTAAAATCATTTTTAATAGGATGCAAAATTAGCCCTCGCATGTTCGCTACCGAGATTGAACTACGTTTTAGAGGACGGGAGGCAAGATTTCTGGATTGCAGCCTGCGTTTAACTACAAGAACGATTCCGGGTAGCCCGAGCTACAAAACAGCGGCTAATCGGGGTAAGCTTGAAAAAAGTCACGGTGCCTAAGCGTGCCATTATATCAAGTAACATGCGGGCCTCGCGCGCGTTACAAGCTTGCATGCGCTTAATCACTGCACCGCGATCACGACGAGATCGGCACGCACGCCGATAAAACGGGGGTGGGCTGGGCGCCTCGCGAAAAATATACATCGAGCGCTTACCTCGCTCGCTAGATATTTCAGACGTTATCACGAAGCGTAAGAGTTAGGGCACAGATGCCATAAATACGGGGTAAGGAATTAAATTTGTGGAATTAGGAACAAGGATTCTATTTTAATACATAGGAAAAATATGTTCCAGTTCGCGATAAATAAGTTACTTTCCATATACTGAAAAAAAAATTTACTAAATCTAAAATTTCTTTAAATAGTACCAAGTAAATATTTATTTATGGTAAAGCTTTAATTATCGAAATATTTAATTCCAAATATATTAAGATTCCAAATATTAATTCCAATTAATTAAAGATTAATTCCAAATATATGTCAATTTCATCAATATTTAATCATTGGATTAGCAAAGTGGAACAGCATTTTGAAATGTCTTCTACAAGAAAGGCTCTACCAAACCTTTAAAATATTTCGAGTAATACAGCTCTTAAAAGCAAGAACGGGATTTATGCATGCAAGTATATATGTATAATAACATCCGTCAATTATTCATTCCTCGGCGGTTTGACAGTGGGAGAAATGGAGGCTTCGTAATAAAGTTCGCGTTACTTCGCGTACGCGTCCATTCGGGACAACAATTAATTCAGTATCGTCACGTGAGCTACGGCATCGCTGGAATTGTCCTACCATCCAATTTCTAGAATCGTGCGTCGCGCGTTGCAATGCAATCGAGCCACCACAGTGCGCGTATAAGAGAGAGGGAGAGCGAGAGAGAGAGAGCGAGAGAGAGAGAGAGAGAGAGAGAGAGAGAGAGAGAGAGAGAAATACAATGTATTGCACAAATATATATGTACTCCATGGACACGACACTCATGCAGCACGAACGGCGAATATGTACAGCGTCGCGAGGGGATGTAAAACAGGGTGGCGGGACGGAGGGACGCGGTAACGGCGAGCAAACGAGAAACGGAGAAATGCGATTAAGCGACAGTAGTCGGCGGTACATTGCGCGTTCCGATCTCGACGATTGCCAAGCATGGCATCCCTACGTCAACGGCCAATGTTGCCTCTAGAGTCGTCCATCCTATGCAAATTTCATTCCCGAAGTAAGCACTCTGCGGTCATCTCACGAGACGCTTGGTACTCGATCGCGTCGCAAGTGGGAACGAGAAAGCTTCGTAACTATTATCGTCGAATGTGTAAGCTAATTCGAGCTCTCTGTAATTTAAAGACAGTTTTAAACATTCGAAGGGATTTCCACGATTCTTCTTGATTTCGTCATTTGTTTTGCGCATTCCTCTTTATTTGCATCCGTAAATATTCGCAATACATTTTTCTTAAGGGCTGATCAATTTAGCGCGCAAAGGATCGAGAGTCCAAGTCCCCGCGGGCACTCGCAGATTTGAAGCTACAGGCGTCGTCACATATTGTCGTATACATACAGCGAATAGGGGAGTCGAATAACATAGGCGTGCAGTTTCTCATCTCGCCATCGCCGTCCCACTTTCGTTCGCATTTCCTCGCACAGAGACACAATAATTTTCTTGGCAGTCACGTAAACGACAGGATAAGTGGGTTAAGCCTCTAAAGCGATGACATATAGCGGCAGTGAGATCGGTCGATGTGCGGAGGAAGTGTACGATATTTGTATAACATAATATACTTGTGATGTGCATTATATATAGATATGTATTATGTATATGTATGTATATATGTACAAATAATACCTAGGCGAACGCCACTTCGCGTTAAGATGTCGCCACCCCGAGCCGGGACTGCCGTACTGCAACAGATACCCGAAACACTCATCATATGCGTTTAGGAAGAAAGAAAAAAAAAGAAAAAGTACTCTATCGTTCCGAGATGCATGCCGGTAAAGAGTACGCAAGAAAACAGACGCGAATGATCGCTCGACCTGCGTCGCATGCGAGAGGTGTAAACTTTTAAATTTTTTTTTTTGATTCCTAGTCTCTATACTTTAAAAAATATAAATGTAGATTTAACACCAGGTAGTTAATTCTCACGATATTGTGAGAAATAAACATCAGTCCTGTGTGGATTTAGCCTAATGAATTTTAAACCATGAATTTTTAATCTTCGACTACAGCAAGAAACATTTGGATCCAAAGCGAATATTTTAAACAGTTGATATAATTTGTACGATTGATACTATAGATTCTAAATTATGAATAAAAAAACTTTAAACGTTTCTCTATTAATCGCCGTAAGGCGAAAGTTCACTTGCATTCTATACTTCAAACAGGACGTTTTAGAATGCATAGTATAATTTTCATCAGTTATTCCTTAGAATTCTTTGGAATGGAACCTCATTCTAAAGAATAAAAATTGGACCAGCTTGAAAAAAAAGTGGCTCAATTTTCAATCTTTAAGAGTGAGATTTACTCTACAAGTTTTAGAGATAAGAGTTAAATCCACATCCATGATGTTAAATTCACTGCTGCACCATGTTGATGTTTCTATTAACACCGACATAGTGAAGATAAACATCAGGGTTAAATCTATAATCATATTTTTCATCTAACTGTTAACATCCGAAGGAGAAAAAAAAACTTCTCTCTGCTGTACACAGATTTATACAATTCTCTCAATATCAAAAATAAGATAAATCTCTATCTTACTTTTACCGAAACTATTACTGCGCTCAATTTATTTTCACGGACTTATCTTCATGTGTCACTTGTTTCCGAAAAGAAGACACGATACGACAATCGTAAAATTAATCGCTGGACAATTTTCGAAGTTGATCGGCGAATAGCGACACGTGATGACGCGCGGATCGATTGTTCGTTATCGAGTAAAAGGCACATTACTTGATTGAAGGGACGTACTACCCGAAACGCGCGGCCATAATCCGCGCCGTAAAATAGTATATCCCCGCCGCATGACAAGAATAATACGGCGAAAACGTGAGACACTTTCGCGGATCACTGAGCGCGCGTCGTTTTTAATTGTCTCTCGCTCTCGTACGTTCGGTCTCGCTAAATTGTTTCGAGCAAAACGGCGGGTTCCACCGCAATTTCCTTTTTACGTCGCTCTCAATTAAAACGCACGCCGATTTTATCAGTTTCCACTGTTATCAAATCAGAAACTCGACTCGAATGTATATAACTTTTTTTTTTTCAAGACTACATACGTCTTATAATGAGAGAGAAGTTTTATTCTCGGTTCGAGACGCACGAGTGGCGTTTGTAATAACACTTTAAGGCGTAAAATTTAAACTTTAAGCCTTAAAAAACTGATCGATCATAGTCGACTGTTCTTCTTACATTCAATTGTAATTGGCTGATTTCGTACGACTTAATTAAAGCTTAAGTTTTACGCCTTAAAATCTCATTGCAAATGCCGCTTAGACAGACGATCTTACGCGACAATAAGCGCACGTAACATTTGCAATTATAGAGCAAGAGTACAAGATAGACAAAGTGTCAACCGACTATTGTTCAGGGAAAGTTCTTGGCAATATGTATATAGCCTACGTACACGAGTACGATACGTACAACTATAATGACTTTCCAACAACAGTTGGCTGATACTTTTATCGTACGCTGCTCTTACTCTTAGCGACAGTGGTAATTGGGTCGGAAGTATCACGTGCCTTTCTTCTATTTTTTCAATACACCTCTCACTTTTCGCATTTCGGTCGAGCGACGTGGCATGCCACGAAATGCATGCAATTATGCACTAGTCTCGCGAGCTGCTCTTGCATATCGACGTTAAGAGCCCTCACCTCACGTGCAATCATATCCCGCAGGGAAAAATCGCGCGGCAAAAAATTTTCGCAATTTATCCCTTTATCCGCCAGATCGTTTTCGCGGCTGGTAATTTGCCAATTCGTAAATTATTTTCGCGTGTCTAATAGCGGAGATTTAAAAGCACCTCGTAATTTATCGACGGTGAGGACGTGCTCGTCCCGATTGCGTTCCATTAAATTTTTTGCTCGGAGTGCCTTTACAGGCGGGACAACAAAGGACCCCTGGCATCTAAAGATTTAATATGCATTTGCGAACGTAACAGCGACGAACTCGCGCGGAAATGCAAAGAGCAGCTCGATAACGAGTCGTAAATTTTATGACTTTGGGTTAGTAGAAAGAAAAAAAGTCTCTTGTAAAACTAGCAAAGATATACACAACGCAGTAGATTGTTGTTAATCATCAGACAGATGCGAGAATCATTAATCCAATTACACACAAGTTCTCATCAGACTTTATTCCCAGAGGAACATTTTTAATCTACACCGCGATAGAGAAAGATCGCAGGTGAGCAGAAACTGGCGGTTTAGACGCTGCGAGAAAAGATCTTTCGGAGAAGCGTTACAAACTAAAACTCATGAAAAATGAAAACAATTTTGCTAAAGTATCTAAAAATTTAGCTAAATAGAGATCTGAAAATAAATTTGTTGGATTATCAAAATATTTCCAGTCAAAGTTTTGACAGTCACCAACTGTTTGTGTGTTGATAATAAAAGTGTAATCTTCTTACGAACTTATTTAAAAAATTAATCAAAATTTGAATCCAAAAACCAGGCAAATGAGAATCAACGTGGTTATTAGTACATAATAATCCATTTATTCGTTTAATGTCATGAATGTTTCGACTCTACTTTGGAGTCATCCTCAGCATATAAATTCTTATTCCTCTTCATATACTTGAGAAAAAGTCACCATCAAATTAACAGATTTGATGTATTTACACAATCTCAAACAATAAAGAAAAAATCACATTGAAACCATTGGATCAAAAATTACATGATGTATAAAATGTTAAATTCAGTTACAATAAGATATTCCAGTCAATTCAAATAATGTGATCATCTCATCTCACGTCTAAGACATGAATATGTTTGTGTGAGCCTCAGTTTTTTAGTTTTTAATTAATTCATGATTTAAACTTTAACTCGATAATAATGTAAAAATTTTGTTTTCTTTTAACTGTAATCAGTCTAAATTAATGGTTTTGTAGTGACAATTTAAAAAATTACTTACTGCAAAATAAAAGTTACTATAAAACCATCAGTTTAACTTTAGTTGAGTTAGCCATAGAAAATCACAATTTTTACATTATTATCATAATAAATTAACCACAAAATGAAAAACTAGGCTGAGCGCGTCCTACATAATAATTTTGGTTCAACAAAATTATTTTTAGATCTGCATCTATCTAAATTTTAGATACTTCAGCAAAACAGTATTTCCACTGTCAATGTTAACATTTTATTCGCGAAGTAAGACAGCGAGATAAATCGCGCAAATATAATACAAATATAATTTGAATATTTGCGGACGTTCTTTCACTGCAAATTTCGATAAATGGTCGATAAGCGAGCGGACGGTTTAAATCGAAAATTATTGTAATTGTTCCGCGCAGTTAAATCCTCCCCGATAATCCGCACGGAGCGATCGAAGAATTATTCGATTCTAGAGTAAAACAAAAGTGATATTGATAATAATACCAAACAAATGTACGTTCCCCTTATTTTCCGCATAAATATAGTAGAACTGTAAAGCAACGTAAAGCGATCACACACACTGCCTTAATTAAAAATCCGTAAAACTTATAAACCTCAACGCGTGTAGCCGTTATTTACAGTTTATTCTAGTTTCGGATGCGATTTCTAAAGGTGCGATTTACGAGCGAGATCTTTCCGTCATCGTATAAATGCCGTGCATAACGTAATCCGCTCCCATCGACAATTAACATTTCACGTGGGAGTACCGCACGGAATATTATTTTAAAAGACCGCGCAATCCGCGAATAAATATTAGCAATTTTGCGCCGGGTGTGCGAACATTCGCGGGCTCATTAACGCGGCTCACGTCGTTAATCCCCGATGAAAGAGTGGATTGTTCTCTCTCGCAGTTTCTGCGATTTGCATTTTAAAAATAACGCCACCGTACACTACGCGTCGTTTTGTCATCGTTATGACACCCGGCACCGATCTGCATTAGCACCTCATAAAATCTCATGCGAGGTAAAACCCGATAATATGCACGCGAGTCAAACTCGCAAAGAGCTAGTAAAATTCTAAAATCAGACTCAACTAATGGAAGAAAAAAATCCAACAAGAGAACCGAAAAGTGAGACTCCGATGATTCTACGAATTAATGATAATTTCATATTTCGGTGTCTCAGAATTTGCAAATCTCGGGATTCTCAACTCGAATAAAAGAAAAATATTCAAGAACTGATTAAATTACATAAAACTTTTTGAATTATATTGTACAAAAATGTAAAAATGTCAAATAGTTTGCCGGCATGTTTTTACAAAGTTACCCGACGCTAACTTTTTTTTACATACGAATTAAATACTAATTATTTCGAAAGGAAAGAAAAAGAGGATTATTATCCTTTTTACAGGGAAGGCTCGATTAGACTTGTTAGTCGGCTTCTCTGTATGATAAGCGTGTATAATTGAACGGTACTCGAGCCAAAAAAGATCTCCGCGAATAGCTCGGACACGATTCACTCGGTATAAGACGTCAGTCAGCTTCGGTTACGCCAACGTCGGCGTGTGTTAAACTGTCTTCCAGCTGACAGGTTAATGCCGACAGGACGTCACGCGAGGCGAATAAAGCTCCTAGGAACCCCGGCTCCCGTGGAAATTAACGCGTCACGACTTCATCGGATTTGATAGGATGCGTCTAAAACCTCATTGCATCGCTTGTCGAGGCAGGTGCAGCTAGTAATAATGATGCTGCGCGTGAATCAAACCGCACGATGCGCCAAAAGTCACGCAATCTACGCCACGATTCGATGAGCGAAAGTTAATATCGGATTCGACATTATTCGGCAACGATTACAGAGAAAAATGTAAAGTAATATGTGCTACAGCTACAACAGAGAAAAAGGTTGAGTTAAATTAACTGGGATTCTAGTAAAAAATGAATGATCCAGAATTCTGGATCGTTCATTATCCAGCAGAATTCCAATTAATTCAACCAAATATTTTTCTTCGTGTACAATTTTAGTAAATTTTATGTAATTGGCAAATTCATGTAGGGACAAATGCCTATTTATGTAAAATTTACTTTACCTTTTTGGTAAAGAATTGATAATCGTATAGTCATATTGTAATATAATACTTTTACATTTCGTAAAGTAAAAAATCTATAAAAAAAATTATAACACATCTCAATAGAATTTATTTTAGCGACGATTATTTTTTGCCTTAACTGAAACAAAATTTACTTTATACACGGTAAAAAATACAAGTGGATAAAGTCTTGAAAGTTGTTCAGTGCTTATCTTGAGCTTAGTTTGAGAATAATATGATTTACTATCAGTAAGATAATAGTCACTTGGACAGATCTATAATCGTAATATACTTTTTACCTTTTATAGCTACGATATTTTTGCTTTCAGACAAGTAAAATTTGACATAAATTCGGCCAAAATAGTCAGAATATTTTTACTAGTTTTAAAAGGTAAAAATTACTGAACCATTTTTCTCCGTGGCGAAGTACGATTTATTATTGATTTTATTTTGCTTCCAAAAGACGTTGCTATTTGCATTTATATTCGCGATCGCGTGACTTCCGAAAATAAGACGTCGAGACCGAATTCAACGAATCCGTCTCCAAGAACGTATAGAACGGAATGACGCAAATGCAAAACCATGCATCGCTCTGCTCGTGCTTTGTTCCTCGAACGATCCGACGAGTATTCCGTTCGCGACTGTGTTTGAGCGATTCTATGCTTTTCTCGCGGCGCGACTTGTATAAAAAGCTGTGTTAGTGAAGCTGCGAAAAGTATAGCGTTGGCGTTGGTTAAACCTTCCCCGTGAAGAGAAAGGATGCGGTTCATTCTGCTGACGGTCTACCACACAGTGGGTAGCTACCTTTCATTGAATCAAGGCAGGTTTCCTGTGGTTCATGTTAAAGAATCGGAACTGTAGTCGCAGCGTTAGATCTTTCCGTACTGTTGGGAAAGAATAGGTGTCGTGAGTATAAATAAGACATATATCGCCAGCTTGGATTCATAGAGTCACGCACTGAAAAAGAGTTTATATTAATAGCTGTTAAATGTTGAGTAAAATAATAACAGCCAAATCTTAATATTAATATAATAAAAATAACTTAATTTTCCTAATTACATATTTAATAAGCATTATTAAACATAATAATAAAATCAACCGTTTGGTAATACTTATTAAATATTTAGGACAGTAAAATTATTTTTGCTTATATTAATCGAACATTTGATTGGCATTATTTTACTCGATATTGATAGCTATTACAAAATTGTTTTTTTCAGTGCGGATAACAAACGTTTGCGATAAGAGAGATCCCGTGGCACCCGATCGGCAAGAGATGCGAAACCTATTCTTTTTAATTGAATTTCTTGCACAGTTCATCTTTTTTCCCTTTTCTCTGTATGTTGGAGAAAAGAAGAAAGAAGCCAGAATTTTTACAAGTTCAGGTAAAAGGCATAGGTAAACAGAACATCAATTATTTATAGTTAATTTTAAATAGTACTGACAATCAAAAGTACGTCTCAACGTGCAGAAACTTTCTAAAAGTGAAAAATGTATATCGTTTAAAATATCGAGAATCGACATATGCGTTTTCATTTCAATCTTGCAAGTCGAGTAGACCACTGCAATATGATATCGACACCGTTTGCAATAAAGGGGACGCAAACGCGTCGTGACGCGCCTGAACACCTACATATGCATCAAATAAATACAGGAGACTGGCGTATATGACATATAGAACAGGGGGGAACTGGCGGCCCATCGGTTCTGCCTATGCAGAATGCAATCTCGTCAAAGTACGCCGAGTTCGAATAATAAAACCTAGACCTTCATCATCCACATGTCGTATGTACTGTGATGGTATATTGCAGTGTTAAAAGTAAAAAAGTCCAACTTAAAAAGAAAGTTGAACGGGAAAGACGGATCGCAAAGGGAAATGATGCCGACAAATGCAAAATGAAATCGTGCGGGTCGGATTTGCTCGAGGGATGCAATGTTAATTATGTGTATTCAGTCGTTGAATCGCGTGATCCTATTTCAGAGAATGTAGGAAATAAATCATGTAAGCATTCGCTTAGTAATTAGACTTGGTAATTATTGTTACGCGTGACTTTTTTCACAAAAGTTTTAGATCACGATGCATATAAAACGCAAAACTGCAAACAATTCTTGTTTCTAACGTTCAATTGAGTGATAAGAATCGACAAGATTCAGGATTGCCATGACAACTAACAAAAGAATACTCGTCAAACTGATGTACTCCTCTGCACTCATAAAAAAAATATACATATATATAATAGATGAAATGATATTTTATATTTCTACTAGAGAATTGAGAGATAATATTCGATAAAATTTCTTAACATTTTAAGACGATTAATAAGATTATATTAAAACGAAGATTATATTAAAAATTAAATTTTTTAATGTGGATTAACTAATTGTAGAATAAAAAAATTCTCGAGAAGTCGCCAGAAATTCTCCACTTTGTAGTCAATTAACAGATTCGAAAGATGTGTCGTATGACAAATAAAATATTAGCTTTAGAGTGCAAAGGATCAATCAAAATATTAGGAATAAGTTATCACAAATTATGAGGAAAGAGACGGGTTTATTTTTTTACAAGAGAAGCTACTCACTGCGCTGCAACAGCGCTACGCTCTATTTTTTAAGTCATCTGCGGGAAGAACGGTGAAAGTTGCAGGACCACCAGCGATTGCTACAAGCTTAGCTCGTTCCATAGGTTCCACACGACAAACTAGCCAGATAAATGAATCAATTAAAATCAATGATAATCTAAATTGTTCACTCAAATTGCGGGACTGAATTTTTGACAGAGACTCGACAGGATAATGCAGAGGGCTTTAATTATTATAATATCTGTAATTAGGATTTCGGGATTTGTGATAAAAATGTATGAAAGCGTATACATCGGTCTCTGTGAAATACTGAGAGAAAATATAAAATACATAGTTAACTCTAAACATGACTACAAATTATAATTAAAATGATTAAAATATAATAATTGCAACCATCTTATGGTAATAATAATTATAATTTATGATCAGTTTCGATGCTAACTATGCTAATTATATATATTTGTTGATAAAACTATACATATAGTTATTATTACTAATAGTATATCAGTAATAACCATAAAATTATGGAGCAATAATAATTAAAACAAAAACTCTTTTCTCTCAGTAAAATAATTTTTGTAATGATGCATGCTACAAAGGAAAAGAAAAGAAAGATATAGTTTTGATTATAATTTAGATAAGAATTTAGATAATTAAATTACAATTTCGTTCGGAAATTAAATTGACTTAATGCCATTTCTATTAACATAGTGTAATCTTGGCTCAATTAACTTTTCATCTTTTTCTACGAATTAGGAAAGGATGAAGAGCAAGTCAAACCAAGATTGAAGTTTAATATACATTAATAGAAACAAGCATTAACACGATAAGATAATGCGGACACCGTTTGTTAATGTACTTAGCAATGCTATATACTTAGCAATAAGCGAGAGCGTGGCAAATTATCAACACAACTTAAGCGTATCAATTGCGAAAGCATAAGTACTTCGTCTTGTTAAATAATCAAGATCATAAAACGGCTGTGCTACTTAACGTCAATTAAGCGCAAGTCCGATAGTTAGTGAAGTTACAAGCCGTTTGATTATAGATTTAAAGAAAATTGGTCAATATAAATTCGTACCAAATTAAACTACCCTAATCTTCGCTTCTTTGTGCTTCACTGAAAATTGAAAAACAAGCAGATCATCATCTTGTGCACCGCTTAATAATATTATCTTTTTTTATTTATATTTTTAATAAAAGCGCGGGGACGAGATATACATTAAATGTACGGCGTAAATAAAAAACCAAATAATAAAGCGTGACATTTAAAACATGACATGAGAGGTAGCTATATGTTATTCGAGGAGAGAAACAGTGTTTTTCAAATAAAATGAACATTTGTAAGGTATAACCATTTTTGTATGTTGCTTCATAAATCTTTCACATATTTTAAATAATTTTAAACTGTAAGGATTTGAAAAATACTGTGAAAAATTAGAAAATTCCACACCTGAACAGGAGCAAGCTGGGGAGTCATAATTACCTCTATATGGCACTAACTAGAAAAATAATAAATAAATATAGCGGGATGAATAGATGAATGATGAAATGTACTATAGTAAAGCACTACGTGAGACTACGAAGCAGATTCGGAAAGGTTAGAAGCATTTCGTCACGTGGTCTCCATAGTCCCCCATACAATTGCTCCCATCTAAATGGAAAATTAATAGTACAATTATCATCGTGATAGAAACAATGGTATCTACGTGATGCGTTTGTGAAACGCTTCATTGCGCTGCTAACGTAATTTATGACACCTGTTCAGATTATTGCGCGCTGACCCGTGAATGGAGCGTCACACTTGACGCCAGACCAATTATTTCAACCTTCTAAGACATACATATATAGCTATTTCAATAGTAATATTCCTGTCAAAATGTTTCTATCATAATTCACGCTAAAATATCGTTAGAAATAATTGTTTACGTTTGTAATTGGCTACACAAATACGTGAATTAATACTAATTATCTTCTATCAATGCCAATTACTTTTAAAAGAACTTTTTCATTCCTAAAAGTGATACACTTTTTTCTGCATAGATTACTTGCGCTATAATAAATATTATCAATATTATATTGGCGTCGCTATTATATCCTTTCATACTTACTCCTATCAATATTGCGTTGCAGATGCGCAGCTACGCGATGTCTGGCGTCATTGAACTCCAGATGCAATCCAAGTCGCAGCAACGTCGGGTTTTGTTCTACCAATTGTGTGATTTCCATCTCAATTTTGTTACCCAATACTTGTGACCTCTAAAAAATGATGTAAATATCTCGTTAGCAATAATCTTATTGTCGCTATTCTTACAAAAAAGATTTAAGCACGTAAGTTTCTGTGATAACTTACCTGATTCGAACATCGGAATTCTTCGATAGACTTTGTTTTAAGAAGGGATCTGATCAGCTTTACTATCACAGGCGGGCTTATGAAATTTGTCTCCACGCTGAAGAGCAAAAATATTTTTTTACATTAAAGCAATAAGATAAATTATCAACATGTGAATGTTGTGCATAAAAATATATCGTTTTATGCATACTTGAGTACTCTGAGTGTCGAATTCTTCTCTATGGCATCGGCTAGCCGTTGTGCGGTCTTGTCATTGAGTCCAACGTTGGTCAAACTTAGCGATTCGAGATGTGTGTTCATTTCCAAACCTTCGAACAACTGCATGAATTTTTCGTCCGAAATATTCTGTAACAAGACCAGCGTTAATTTAGCATGAAATGCTCTCTTCTTACAATATATAAATTATAGTATAATCGACGATACTTACTTTAATATTATTCCAATTTAAATCAGTTAGAGAGGAATCATCATTTCGCACTTGTTTAATGGTAGCGTCAACGTCCGTGTCATTAGGCGGTTCCATTGGATAAATTTTCGGTTGACTAGCCTTTGTCACACCATCCCAACCGAGTCCAACTGGCTGTCCAGAATTCAGTAGAGATGCGTGATATTGATCTTGATTCATCATAGAATGGAAACCAAGAATAGCTGGAAGAAAGAAGTAATTTTAATTATTTATCTTTGAATTCTGATACAAAGCACTTTCAGAAAAATCGATCTTCTTACCAGCAAGATCAATGATTTCTTCTTGGGTGGCAGCTGAAAGTGCTTGTTCATACTCTTCACCGAGATCTATTGCGATCTGCTCGTCTGCCTCCTTTTCTTTCGTATTGTCTTGTGGCGGAGGTATCCACTAAAACAAGTAATATAATATGATGCACGTATAATTAGGTTACCAATATATTGTGCAAAATTTATTAGAGAGAGAAGAGAGTATTATTAAATTTATTAATATTATTAAATTATAGACGTTTTGACTATAGTTCTTTCATGTTTCTTTTTCCACTATAACCTCAAATTTAGACTTTCTACAAGACTAATTTTAATTAACTATGATTTATATATTTTACTATGATGATAGGAAAGTAACGTAAATAAAAAATTAGTATTTGTAGATAATGAAAAGAAATCAACTCTAAAGATTAATATATTTTTGCAGAAAAGACACGTTTGTAATTCATTTATTACATCTATATAGGAAAATGTACAACTCTAATAAAGAGTTTGACATATTACACTAAAGTTACAATGTTTAAATTTAGAAAACTGATAACAAAATTATAAAGAATACATTCTAATTAAACATACATGGAAAGAAAAAATGAAGTCATAGAAATTGTATAGTAATTATTCTAATTAAACCGTTTTCATTTAGAATTTCAAAATTGCTCTACTGAAAAGTTGCTAATTTCAAGATACGTCATTTTTCTACCAACATAATGGTTTATAAAATATTACGATGCTCACTTTCTTGCCCCTAATTGTACCAGGTACATATGGCTTCAGTTCTGGAATATCAGGTGTCTCTAAAGCCTGTTTGTTGATATGCTCAATGAGCTTCTTACGATTCAACGGCCCTGTGGGACTCTTATTGCATTCATAACTGCAACGTTGCGAAGGCGGCATAAAACTGTCCTGTACAAAAATGTAACATAGATTACATAGATTCAGTATCTCCTAAAGGAATAATATAACTGCCAGTATTCTTTAAACAGAATTCTAAATAAACAGACTTACATCAGGATCCACTTCCTTGGCCAATATATTGAGCTCCTCCGGCGTAAGCTCCGCCAGCAGTTGATCCACGTCAATGTCATCATACTCGCTCAGATCTTTGCCGTACAGCTTGGCCGCTGTCGTCATGGTGGTTGTCTTGGTCGACGAAGAAGTCTGTAAATCATTCCATGGTGACTGGTCAACAACCGAGTGTTTCCTCGACATTTTGCTAAGCTCTAGACTACTCTCGGTAAACGGCACTACTCTCGCGCAGAAATTAATTATATTACTCTCAACTAATCTTCTACCTCAAGTCTTATGCAAGAATCGTTCAATAAGCGGTCAAAACAATAGAATCGCGTGATAATAAAACATTTCTGTGGATCTCGCGAACAGAGGGAAGGCCGTTATCGACGTCTAATTATCGCGGCGCCCGTCGGCCGGCCGGGATCAATTATTCAAAGGGCGCGTTGTCGGCGAGGGCACAAAAGGCCGTCGACACGAGCCGCGCCCGCCTCGCGAGGGTCGTCGGCACGGCCGCGACCGACTTCTCTTATCGCGGATCGAGGCGTTATCAGCCGGAGCTGAGCCGGCCGTTCGATCGCGATCGACTGATCTGATCCGATCGCGCCGACGGTGCGGCCGCGTTTAAATTCGGCGAGCGTCTGACGCGGCTGATGCCCTCTGACCCAGATAATTCGGGATCGATTTTCATTGACAAGTCGCGTGCCAAGATCAGCGGCGGCGGCAGCGGTGATGTCAGTGTCGGCTGAAGCGAGACACCGCCGCCGCCCCCTCCCCCGTTTTGGGACTTACTCGATGACGCGTCGCGGTGTCACCGCGGACGATGGGCGTACCGCGTGCCGCCACCCGTGTGAATGCAAGAATTCAGAGACCGCTCCGGATGAGCCACGCGATCACGCTCCGAAATAGGACAATATAAGTACTCGCGAACGTCTCACTACTCTTACTGATGACACTGACCAGCCCACCCAGCGGCAGCGCCCTTTAATGCCGACAACGCGATTGCGCGACGGCCGATCCTACGTCTGATAAAACTTGTCCAGATTCCAGGATTCTCGTACGGGACGCGTGCCGATCTCTATTCTCGTTTAGACGGATGTAAACAAGGGGTTACAGTCTCTATTCTCTGGATGCAGTTACGAAGGTGGACGCAATTTTGACTGTGCGTCAACTGGCGTCAACTTGGACAACTGCACTATTGCAGTAATGCACGGCGACGCTGGAAGGTTACGACGAATGGAGTATGCCGAGTTACGAAGCGAAAGCGGGAGATTTGAACACTTGAAGCGACGTATGACAGCAAGTCGTATTGCACGAATATAGGTGCGTAAGGTGCGTTTCAAGAATAGTATTGAATGTTTAACATTTGAACAATGTCCAAATGTCAAATTACGATTTTTAATTATTTCTATAGATCCTCCACTCCTTGATATGTCATTAATTTAACTAAAACAATGGAGTTAAACAATTTAATTTAAGGAAATGTATTAAGTATTCGACTTATTTAAATTTAATTTGTTATTTATTAGTGCATACGTAAACATGTTGTTTATTTTGAAATTAACTGTAGAAATGAATTGATTAAAATTTTTAATTTTGATACATGGAAGTTAAAAATAACAAAATGTTATTTAACTCAAGAACTCGGGTTATCATTGCTTATCTTTGATAACTAATAATAAACGAGAAGAGAAAAGATACATATTATTACTTTACTATTTATTATTTTTATATACAATAATTATATCTATATAAAAATCATGCAAAAATTTCACTTATTATGATAATTTTTAAGTTTTTAATGGACATAAAAATTCTAGAAGTTATCGATATTGCAATTTTTAGAGTTTTAAAAAAGATCTTAGAATTTTAGATAATGCAATATATACAATATACACATTTCCTTATTTATTATGTCTTTCGACATGTCATTAAAATTTAAAAAAATTTATTTTATTATATATATATTTTTATTAAATTTCGATTCTTTTATTATAAATTTTAAATTTTAAGTATTGCAATTTTTAGAATTATATTGCAATCTAAACTACATTAAAGATAAAAATTACACACTTTTAGAATGATGTTTCAAAAATCTAAAAAAATATTTTACGTAATTTAATAAGACATAAGACAAATATAAGATATTTTGAAGATACTAATCTACCTAATATTTTCTGATAATCCTATAAAACATTTAAAAGTTAAGATGGTTTTTAGACGTCATGTAATTACATTTAATTATGATATAATACGAAAATACGCGGGAAAAATATCTTTGTTGAAATATCTAAAAATTTAGTTTTGAAAATAATTTTGTTGGATTATTCAAATAATTAATGTATACAGAATGTTCAAATTGTTTGTCAGATTATCAAAGTTTTTTGAAGCATTATTATTATATTTATAAACATCCTACATATAATTACTTTAATAATATAATAAAAAATTATTTTCTCTATTTAACTAAATTTTTAAATACTTCAACAAAATCGTTCTTTCCATGCAGTTAATATTGAGCTAGAGTTCTTGAGCTTCCTGTAAGTGCAAGTTTCATTTCTTTTTTTCCTCTTGAATAAAACGCTGTATCGATTGATAACTGGTTCTTGCGACGCAACGATGCATCTCTAAATCAACTTGAACGTATTCAACTATCAGATTCCAGCGTTATATTATCAATATATATATTTTTCTATTAAAGTCATAATGTCAAATTATTTATAATTTGAGTTATTTGTATATTAAGAAAAAATTTATTAAATTTTAATAAATATTTTTTTAATTGTCCTTGAGGAATATTTACTAAATGTAAACACATATTTATTAGATTCAAAAACCATTAGATTGATTCAACTATCATTTTTATCATTTACCTAAATATTTAGTTATCGTAAATAAATAGTCAGCCAGAGAGGACTATTCAAAGATATATTCAATAAAATTTAATAAAATTTTTTCTCAGTGTAATTTTAGTTAAATTATATGTCGTTGACTTAATTAAACAATACAGTTGATATGTATGAACAGTTTAACTCAAAACAGTTTATTAAACTACAGTCAAATTTAGTTGATTTTTTATCAAATGCGTACATATTAATATAGACATTGTTTTAAAATTAACCATAAACATAGATTGATTTACATTTTCATACATGAAAGTTAAAAATAACAAAACGTTATTTTTTTTTACTCAAGAGATTGAGTCGCCATTGTTTCTATGATATCTAATAATAGGTGTAATCGTTTGCTATACTTTACGACATCGTCCATTGCTTTTTTGCAATTCAATATGAATTCAAGAACCGGTATAAAAATATCCGCGTATCTCAGTGTGCATCCGGTAACGCGCAAAACCATGCAAGAATCATCCGCATATTAATCGAGCCTCGGAGTCCTCGTTTCTCGGCTGACCGTGAAACCGGCACGTGAGTCCAACTTGCCGAAATTGGCAATACCCCTACTTCCATCCTTCTCTCCTCTTTTCTCATCCGGTCCCTCCTATATTTCCCTCTTGGATCACGTAATCCGTGGGGGCTCGGCATTGACATAATCGATCTGACAACGCGGAGCCGCTCAAGGTCACAGCACGAGAGAGATCTCGAGCGAGAGAAGATCGGGGGACGGATATCGATTTATGAGGAGAAGGCATAGGAAAGGGGGAAAAATACAAGAAGATCAACGGGGACCCACGATTTGGATGATCTATCAGGAGGGGACAGACCGCGGCCCATCTCCGGATCGGCAGTCGCGATCGGAGTTGTCCGTCGCGCGTTGTAGCGTACGCTGGTGGCAGCGACAGCCCGCAAAAATAGCTGAGGCCTCCTCGCTGAGGCTGGCACATTCCCAACAGGCTATACTTGGACATACCCGCGCACACGATTATTTATAGTGAACGCGAGAGCGCGGCCACTGGCCTTCTTACGAACTAACCAGCCGCGGCTACCAGCCGAGGAGACATTCCGCCGCCCGTGACCTAGGCCTGCATTAATAATGGGCTCCACCCTTGCCTTGCGACCACGAGGAACTTAGCACTTTGCACTCGCTGGGGGGCGTAGCCCTGGCATCAGCGCCTCCGTGTTTGTTCCTTTTTTCTCCCCCCCCCCCTCATCCTCATCCCTTGTTGCAATTTCCGAAACCTACCTCCGACAGATCCTGTCATCTTAGACTGTCGACTCGCTTTAAGTTTTTCGACACTTAGTTCTCTAGTTGCAGAGGTCCTTGGACTCTGGCAAATCCGTAGCCCGTTCATTCCAGATCGTTTCTTGGAGAAATCACAGGGTTCTCTCGCTTTCGGAAAGCTTGGACATGATAGCGAGGGGATAAACACCGACTTAGGATTTAACTTTTAGGTAGCTAGGTGGTTTGAACTGTTTGAAAATAATCAAGTAGATAGGTAAAGTGCTTGACTCAAAAAATTCGAAAAATTTATATTAATTATATTTTCATTAGATAGAAAAGAGTAAAAATAATGACTTCTGGACTCGTGTGTGGGACAGTATCTTTTATTTTTCTTTCCTACAAAATATGATTTCAAAGAAAACTATACCTGAAGTGCTATCCATCACCTTAACGATTAAAACTTTATCTGATAATTTCCATTTAACCGATGTGGCCTGGGCTCAAACGGCGAAACCTATTTTTAAATCGGTGCAGCACGAAATTATTCACAAGCACGGAAACAAGCTGATTATAAACAACAGCAAGCCTGAGAGATCTCAAGAGAGGGTGTGCAAATTGAATGAGCTGCTAAAAATACCCCATCTTTCTCAGAGGGACGTGTGTCTTTATTTTCTTCTCGCCCGATCAGCCGACTAGACGATCATCGTGAAAAAAAAGTCGGGAATACGAAAGTCACCCAGTGATAGACCACGTCTGTCCGAGATATTTTTACCCAGATTTCTAGAGTCATTTTCAATGTTAAGGTGATATTCCCATTGCGCGTAAGGCACACTGAGCTGAAGACAGCAGAAGCTAAAAAAAAAATTGCTTCCCAGCCGCTTGTAATGATCTTGTTTGATTTCTATAACATTTCTCTGATTCGTTGTTTATCTAATTTGAAGACTTTCCAGCGGAACTTAGAAGCCCGTTACGAGGAAGTAGGACGAAAATGCTGCCGTGACGGCACGGCGCGATGGAAAACGCAATCGACT